TTTTTTTTTTTTTTTTTTTTTTGCTCCCCTTTTTTGCACGTGTTAAGTTTGTACAATGTAAACAGTTTCGCTACTCACGTGGCAAAACAAATCGTGTAGGAAAGGGAAAAGGAAAAAAATCTAGCTCAATTAAACGTTTCTGTTTCACCCGCTTTGTCAATCCAAGTTGAATAAGTTCGTGCCCCACACACACCCTCTCCTATGTCTGTGTGTATGCGTTTTTGTTACGGAAGAATAGCATGAGTGTACTCCTGACCTACGAAAAAATAATTCTCTGGCCGCGGCAAAATTTAAGCACAGCAAATCAGTTCTATACATGCTTCTACATACCTTTTGCAAGCAAGGTTTCTTTTTTTACTCGTCCCTTTTGGGTCAACAGAAAAATGGGCTCCTTGGAAAAGGTGGCTCATTATGAGAGGACGTACACACAATATCATGTCATAGTAAATGCCTTAAAATTATTTTTTTTAAAAAAGTATTTGCAACATGGGAGTCCATCCATCCACGGTTGGAACATTGTTGAGTGTACTGAGAAGAATAATTCGTCTTACCTGACCTCTGCCCAGGGAGGCAACAGAGATTCAAATGACACAACACAGGGGGGACGAAGCACGCATGAGAAAAAGACAAATGTAAGCACTTCAAATGGTGACTCAAAGTTAGACGAAGACCATCAGCACGTTACACCATATGATGAAACAAGGAAAACACCAACAGAGTCAGAGCCCCACGTGTTTGAGAGCGACCCTGCCGCCATCCATTATTGGAACACGAAGATGAAGAACAAGAAAACGCACCCTCCACACTACAATATAGACCCATCGGCCAAAACGAAAAAAATTCAAATATACTACAACTGCGAAATGACCGATATGGAAAGAAAAATTTTTAAAATTAAAAAATTTTTGCAAAATGGAAATCCCGTAGATATTCTTTTAATTTATGAAAGGGATAGCGACTGCGACGCCAAGGGCACCCAAAAGAGCGGCGAAAAAAAAAAAAAAAAATGAATAAAAAAAATGAGGAGAGTACTTCCGGTGGTGGACCCACTTCTATATGCAATGACAAAAATAATTTTACCAACTCTTCCCTCTCCCTGCACCCAAGTGAAGCAAAGTGTTCTCCACACGTGAACGTCCGAGTGAATTTCCTGATGAGGCACTTGGCCAAAATTGCATCCGTGGAGGAAACGTTTTGGCATGTCCAGAACGGCAGGCGCGTCATTCTGATCAAGCTCTTTCCCAGGTGATGTGCTTGGCCATCCTCTTGCGCATCCCTCACATTGGAGACCGCACGATGAACCGCGTTCCGAATCGCATTGAAAGTTGCCCACAGGCACTTTTGCATAACTGTAGACACGTCCCCCTGGCAGCGTCTTCTAAAATGTAAACCCGACCCCACCCCCGTACAAGACCATTTGACCATTGCTTTGCGCGATGGTGTGGAGTGAACAGGGGAGGGTCTACTGCCTTCTCATCCAACGGAGCAGATACACGATTTGAATGCAAACGAATGGGGGGGTAAACAAATGGGAGACAAACGAATGGAAGACGTGTGCGGAAATCCCAAATGGACAGTAACCACCTGGCCACCTCACCGGAGAAGGGCGATGATGGTGAGGGGGGAAGTTCGTCACGCACCAAAATGAAAAGAACAAATAAACGACGCAACGAAGTAACAATACGTTCACAAATGGGAAGCATCACGATGGATGCCCCTTTCTGTGTGTGCGCGAGAGGGGGTAACAAAGGGCTCACACGTATGCGATAGCTACGCTTCATACGCGCTGTCTAAATGCCCTTCTCGCAGCTCGCTCCATATGGCCTGTCCCAAAGAAAAGCGCTACACTAATCCCTTCCAGAGCAGGCAACCCTGGCAGGGTGCAAAACGGGGGGGCTGGTCACATGAGGGCAGTTCTACCATAAGAATTAGGCTGCCATCCTAGTCGTGTCAGATTAGCCAACCTGGTCAAGCGAACCAGCTTAATCATTCAAGTCGTGAACGTCAAACGTTTTGTCTAGCGCATTATCATTATCGCTATCCTTCTTGTTTGGCATGGGAAAATTTTCTGTATCTGTTGTCGTCGTGCCCTGCTCTGCATGCATTTCTTTTTGTTGGGCCCAAATCTGCAAAGGAGGTAAAATGGAAAGAGTGCATTTTTCCTTTTAAGAAATCACTCGTGGATCAGAAATACGTACAATGAGAACCGAGTTGGACCCACTCGTACCACACTGCTGTTGTACATTTTTTTTTTTTTTTTTTGTTGTTATTTACATTTATGGCATTGAGGAAGTGTCCCTTTTTCTTAAGCTGTGAAATTACACACTTATCCCATGTGGTCCTAACAACTTTAATTTTGTCGACGGACAAATTTACAAATGGTTTGAGGAAGTAAAGCAGGAAGAGGTTCTCTGGGCATTCGCTGAAAGGGGGGGGAAGCAAAATGGTGAATAGGCAAGATAAGGGGAATAGTCCGTCCTCATTCATGTGAAATGTACACTAGCTAGATGTACAAACGGAGGTGCGCTTCTCAAGCACATGCATGTTTTACGCCCCTACTTGATTATCCCGTCGCACATCTTTATAAAAATCTGACGGTCACAGAAACGGCAACTCCTGCGGGGAAGAGAAAAGGTGAGGTCCTCAAAAATTGGTACATTTGAATAAAAAAAAGCTTCTTTTAAAGAAGGCACATTGAAATTGGCCTAATTTGTTCATGCGACTCCCTTGAAGACAAAATACACACAACACACACCGTCCAAGTGCAGTGCAAATGCCACGTTTGCCAGTTCCCTTTTTTCCTACCTTGAAAACATCATTAACACTGTTTTGACGAGGGCAATTTCTGTCCCGCTTGTGAAGTACCGACTCCTCAATTTGAACTTTTCTCCATTCGTCATTATCCTATCTGTAATGTTGGGACGGAGAG